AGCAGTATGGATAGAGATGTTGATCTAAGAGCTCAAGATTATGGAACATAAGAAAATGAATTTATTTGTAGATAACAAGTCAACTATTGACCTAACAAATCATCATGTGTGTCATGGTAAAAGTAAGCACATAAAGATGGTGTATCATTTCCTTATGGATCAAGTAAATAAAGGAAGACTTGAGCTTGAGCATTGCAAGTCAGAATGACAACTAGCCGATGTACTCACCAAGCCCCTGAAAAAAGTCAGGTTTGATGAGTTGAAGAGAAACATTAAGACGAGAAGCCTTGAAAACACGAGTTAGGTGGTGTGTTAGAAGCTAGTAATTCATTGTTTAAAAAGAAAGTCTGTATTCGACAACGTTGTATTCGACCTAGTCAATATAATCAAAGATAGTTGAGTATGAGTTAGTTGTATTCTACAGAATCAAATACATCATGTTGACGTCAAATGTTATAAACATGTATTCGACATTGTCAAATATTGCATTTAATGAATATGTTGTAATAGTTGATTATATAAGGATATGTGATGATGTAAATAAAATAAACAACTTCATAATAAAATTTTCCCTTTTTTACAATACACTTTCTCTCTTCTTCTTTAATCTTCTTAAAAATTCTAATTGTTTCAAACATATTATTTATTAAAAAAAAGTAAATCTTGCAACAACCAAAAAAAAACCAATTTTTTCTACTAAATTTTACAATTGTAAAATGAATAGTAATAATTATCAAGATATGCGTTTTTGTTTAATTTTTATATTTGTTAATGCTAAGTTTTTAATATAGTAGGTTCATATGAAATAAAAAGTATTCAATTATTGTTGATACAAAAGACCGATCAATTTTTATTTCACATAAAGTATGTGATTACCAAAATATTACGTATCTCTTTCTTCTCTCTTTTTTGTGCGTGTGTGTTCTCCATTCTTGTTTGAGATTCATGTTACCATTTTTTTAATAATTGAAAGTTACATTTGAAAACTTTTTAAGAAAATTGAGAGAGAGAGAGAAATTTGATATTAGATTAAAAAATATGTATGATTTTGTCATAATAGTAATTTTGTAATCTTATACAATATAAAAAAATCAAAACTTAATAAATTGGAAGTATTAAAAATAAAATAATTATTAAAATTTTTAAAATATAAATACTAATTTTATTTGTTGATCAAATTAAATATATATATTTTTTGCAAAAATATTTTTGTTATTTACATATTAAATATACATATATAATTGATATCATCTGTTAATCACACACATGATATAATAAAATACAAATATTAATTTAACTAGTGCAAAAATTGTTGGGCAATATTAACATATATGCATTATGAATATTTTAAACTTAGTATTTTACGATTAAAATGTTTTAAAATACGAATAATGTGAAATAGAAAGTTGATATGATCTACAATTTTACCAACCAAATTAAATATTTATTTAAATACTATTTTCAAATGAAAATACAAAGATACCATTGAACATGTCTTAAAAACATAATACAAGTTCCCTTTTTCTTTATCCTCTTTAACAAATTAAACCAGGACAAAAGAGTTCAGTCTATGCTTTTGTGATGAGCCATATCTCACACGACACATTGGTCAATGATGATGACACAAAAGATAAAAGCAATATTAATCATGCATCTTGGTGGATGCTACTATGCTAGCTACATTGTTACAATTTTTTAATTATAAATTGAAAATCTTTGCACATGATTGGAATCACTAGCCATGAACTTATTCTAAATATGGAATTTGTTTTAAGAAAGAAAATTACTAGAATTCCAAATTCCTTTCATCTGTCCAACTTTTTTATTTTATTTTAAATATGTGTTGATTTTTGTTGTTGAATACTTTTATTGGAGTATAAAGGACATAACCCTAAAAAAGTATGTTCTTACTCTCGTTGTATTTTTAGCAAATTCAATTTTAAAATGGTAGTTAAAGATTGTGCATTTTCTAAAATAATATAAATAATACTTTAATGTTTTGTTTTTGTTTTTTTTCTTAAAAAAATACATATAATTATCCACTTTAAGAGTATATCTCCTTGTTAACTAGCATTTCACCCATAATGATTTATAAGTAAAATTTGGTCATTTTAGTTTTAATATAGTATCACTAAAATCAACTTTTTAAACTCACAATTTAATGATATTATATCAAATATATATGTTTCGTTCAGGAACTATAAATTGATGTAGTTGGATAATTAATGATATTGAATAATAATTCTGATATCTTTTTACGGCGCCGGCGATAGACATGTATGGTTAGCACTCTAACGCTCAAGTCAGTTCAAGATTCGATATGTTTGTAATGAAAAATGGAGATCAGAGAACATACCTTCCTCTTTGCTTGTGAACTGATTTTATACTTTGGGTCAAGTGGAGTGAATTCGAGATGGATTAGACCTTAGTCATTTAGACATTTGGTCAATCCAGAATAGTTGTCCCTAAGGCTTTGTCGGGCACTAAAAAAGTCGGGGGAAGCCTTAAGTGATGTTGGTTGTCCTCCTGGATGTGGTTCGATGTAAAGTGGATATGAAACCTTTTGGATCAGTTGAAAAATTACTGGAGAACAAGTCCATTAAAAGTGGTCTCATCATTGAAATGTTTCATCATCCTCTTCTAACAAGTGCACTGACGTGACCAATTAGGGCATGTCGTAGTTTACAGAATACTTGAATGCACTTGAGTTAGCATGTATCCATGAATAGAAATCTAGTTGTTGATCTTGTGATTTCTCTTTCTAGTTGGTCTGAAACCTTCAACTGTCGTTGCTTATAAATAGGGTGAATTGATTGTTTTAGAAAATTTCCAAACCTTTAGTATTAAAATTTTCTATTACTTTCTCACAAAACGTCTTCATTCATTCTTCCTTGAGAGTATTACTAGGAGCAGTTTTTAGTCTTTTGCTTAAAGCTTCTGCCTTTCTTCATCTTCTCTTACTTTATCAATCTCACCTAACTAAGTATCATCCTAACTCAAGCTTTTATCTTCAGCATTTCATGTTTTCTAGTCAGGATGAGTGATATACAGTTGACCTATTGAGCGATTTTAAAGTTGAAACTTCATTTGCCTCTATAATTGGGGCATCCTCTGATTCTCATTTCCCTCCTCTTGATAGTGATTACCTAGAACCAGAAATCATACCCTTATTTGACGATTATGACTCAAAAAGGGTATATAAGAATTCCTTAGACAAAGAAATTTCTTCATTTGGTTCTACAGACGCCCTTTCAAGTGTATGTCGAGCATAAATCTTGAAAGTCTTCTCTTATATTATTCTTTGATCTTTTTCATCTGAGGCGCACCTCATTAGACAACTTTCGTAATCAGGGGTTCATTTGCTTTCATCAGGTCAACCCTTAGTTAGATCCCTTTGCTCTAGACTACGGCAATTTCCTGGGGCATTTTTTTGGCGGTAAGACCCTCACACCCGCGACCCATTTGTTTTCTACTACCTCCCTGCTAATTTTCCTTGCTTATGTCGAATTTTGTATCTGAAGTACTGGTTTAAGATCCATATTAACTGGGACCCTCACTCCTATCGTACCAAGTTGGATTCTCTTTCTGCATATGAGGTGATAGTGAACGAGAAATGCAATTTTGATTTCAAGGGCTTAGCTATGAGGAAGGACTCGACCCTGGTGAGGTTTCCTCTACCGAGGTGAGAAAAGGCGGTTTGACAATCATGTCATTTTGAGTGTAGTTATCTAGAAAGAGAGGGGTAAGATATTTGGTGAGAGTAGAGACTTGATGTTTTTTTTACACTTTTGCAGATATCATGGAAAAGATGAACGAGTTGAAGTTGTTTTACAGCCTTGCAAATGCTCAAGGTATTCAGGTCGTGGTGAATATTGGATAAATGTAAGTTATTGGTTTCATCATCCCGCCTAGTGATGGCAACAGGGCGGGTTAGAGACGGTTTTTACCTCCCCTAAACCTAAACCCAAATCTCAAAATAATCCTCGTTCCCCGTCCCAATCCTCATTATGGATGGAGAATTAAAACCCAAACTCGTTCCAAACGGGTTCGAGTATCCCTGCCCCGCCACCATTTATTTGATGAAATTAATTTTTTAATAAAAAAATTATTTTTCCAAAATAAATTATATTACAAATAATAAAATAAAATAAAATTCAAAAAAATTCTTGCATACATTTCAAATATTTTAAATAATAAATACAAATCAAAATATCAAAATATCAATTGCATATTTAATATTCTAAATTATCAAAACTAAAATAATAAAATATATAGTAAAATAAACGTGACGAGTTTGAATTGGATACTAGTGTCCTCATTATCCTCTCCGTTTCATATTTTATAATCAGAGAAAATTGAAACCCGATCTAAAATCCAATCAAAATGAGTTTTTCTTATCAAATTTATGAATGATTCGAATGAGTACCTACATATTTAAGTTATGTTGCTATACATAGTCCCACCTTTTTGAAAATGCGGTAAAAGTAATTAATGTTCAATCAGGTTGTAACCCATAATAGTGGAGCAAACCATTCCATTGCCTTTAACAGAATCCTCAAACCATCTTTTATTTGGAGTAGTAAAATGAAGACCCTTCTTTCTACTACTAACACATTTAAGTGATAAAGTTTGTGAATAGAACCGTTGACACTGGTAGGAATGAACATTAACTACAATTAAATGGAACCTTTTCGACAAAACAAGTGTGTAAATGATTACAATGTGGAACAACAACCAAACATAAAAAGGTACAAAATACATAAATTCAAGAAATGGTAACAAAGACAGAAAAAAAAATCACAAAGACAACAGTTATGATGTATGCGAAAGCGAAACCTCAAAATCGAGAGCTCGTGATACCATGTAGAAATACGAAGTTACTTAAACTTAAAGCACTTGCACTTCTCTCACTCAATTACTGTCTCTTCTTCTAATACTCTCATTCATGTTATATGAACAAAGTAGAGCCATAAAAACTCTTGCTTAAGAAAAGTTCAATCATGATGAGTCCAAAGGAAAAGAAATTTGTGAGGTTTGTACTTTGTACTTTCAGCCATGTTATTCAATTACCATCATGTGTTGTTGTTGTTATTTCAGTTTCTTCTATTCATTTTCTTTTGAATCAGAAAAAAGTGATTCTAGTTTCTATATGATTTATGATACTTAACTCACTTTATATGTTTGTTCAGATTTGAAGATTGGAAGTCAGAATCATCATCTTTTAATATTTCACAATATGATTCTTCAATGGATGGATTTGAGAAAAGAAAATCCAAACCAAGTTTTAGTCCTGCAAAAAATAATGAACCGTCGAAAAAACCAGCTTCTAGGTTTACTGTTCTTGATCCACAAGGTCCACTGCTTCAAAAATGGAACAAGATCTTTGTAATAACATGTGTCATGGCAGTGTCGATGGATCCGCTGTTCTTTTACATCCCTGTGATTGATGACAAGAGAAAATGCCTTGACTTGAGTGGAACATTGAAGATTACTGCGAGTGTTCTTCGCACGTTTTTCGATCTTTTCTATATTCTTCGTATAGTATTTCAGTTTCGAACCGGGTTTATTGCTCCTTCTTCGCGCGTGTTTGGAAGGGGCGAGCCTGTTGATGATCCTTTGGCTATAGCAGTGAGATACTTAAGTTCTCATTTCATCATTGATATTCTGTCAATTCTTCCACTTCCTCAGGTATCAGAACTCAAAAGTGCTTTTTCCATTTACTTAAGCTTATTCTATGAAGTTCCTTAAGGACTAATCAAAAGTGAAAAGTACTTATTGAGAAATTCAGTTTCTTAAGTCAAATACTAAAAAATGAATTTTTTTTCTTTCTAGATTACTTAACTAGTGCTCTTAAACATGGTTATCGGTATCTTACGATGCTTACGAACTCAACTGTGATAATAATGTGTTATTAGATGGTGATTTTGGCTATGATTCATATTCCACAATGCTCAGTTCCATATATAGCAAAGGATTGGTTGAAGTATACAATAATAACACAATACGCGCCGAGACTTTTGCGAATCTATCCGTTGTTCAAAGAAGTAACAAGCACTTCTGGTATATTGACTGAGACAGCATGGGCTGGAGCTGCTTATAATCTTTTTCTTTATATGCTAGCAAGTCATGTAAGCTTATAATTTTGTTACTTTTGTCACAAGCAACTAATTTATGTATGTTTCTTGTTATTGATATTATGCTAAACTTATGTGGTATATACTAGGTGGTTGGAGCTTTTTGGTATTTGTTTTCGATAGAATCAGAGTTGCGGTGTTGGCGTAAACGATTGAAGAGTACTGGATTTCTTGATGATTCATCCTACTTGAGCTGTGGACGGTTTAATTCGGCTGTTTTTTCGCTTCTCAGCAACTCTACTACTTGTCCTTACAAAGAACCAGATGATATCATTGATCCAACAGTTTTTGATTTTGGAATATTTATAGATGGTCTAAAGTCTCGTGTCGTCGGTTCGACTACAGACTTTCATCATAAATTCTTCTACTGCTTTTGGTGGGGTTTGCGCAATTTAAGGTTGGTGATTGATTTTCTCTGCTATTGGCTCCATATGTTTGAGGTTCACATTTTAAAAGTTGAATTTTGTTGTTTTTTACAGTTCTGTTGGGCAGAATCTGAAGACAAGCACTTATATTGGGGAGATAATCTTTGCGATCTTCATCGCCGTCTTTGGATTGGTTCTATTCGCATTGCTTATTGGAAACATGCAGGTAATCCTTAGTAAAGAAGGACTCTGAGCGGTGAGAATAAGTCAGACCAATTGAGATGAATCTGACTTCGTGTCAGGTTCATGTCAAGTCAGACCAGATCGAAGTTTTTTAGAAACCTACTTAACGGAAAATGTCAGACGATAGGTTATAAAAAAATCCATTTAGACCTATTAGGAAGGCTTGTCGCGGATATAATGTACTACTTCACGAACGGAAAATGTCAGACGATAGGTTATAAAAAAATCCATTTAGACCTATTAGGAAGGCTTGTCGCGGATATAATGTACTACTTCACGACTCGAGTCTTTCTTCTTTTGAAAAGTTTATGATTTTTCTGATGAAGTAAAAGTTGTGTTGATTCTTGTGACAGAAATATCTACAATCTACAACTGTTAGAGTTGAAGAGATGAGAATCAAAAGGAGGGATGCAGAACAATGGATGTGCCACCGTATGTTACCAGAGTTCATGAAGCAAAGAATTCGACGGTATGAGCAATACAAATGGCAAGAAAATCGAGGTGTCGAAGAGGAGACGTTGATTCGCAACCTCCCTAAAGATCTTAGAAGAGATGTAAAGAGACATCTTTGCTTAGATTTACTTAAAAAAGTTGGTATCATACATAATAATCTCATTTTTCACTTTAGTTTTTCTTTCTCCACTTAACTATACTTGTTTTTACATGTGATGAACATTTGATAGGTGCCAATTTTTGGCAACATGGATAAACAGTTGCTAGATGCAATGTGTGATAAACTCAAACCAGTCCTTTATACCGAGAAAAGTTACGTTGTTTGCGAAGGTGATCCGGTGGATGAAATGCTCTTCATCATGCGTGGAAAACTTGCGACCGCGACAACAAATGGTGGAAGAACTGGTTTCTTTAACTCGTCCGAGCTTAAGGCTGGTGATTTTTGTGGAGAGGAGCTTCTAACATGGGCATTGGATCCTACCACTTCCTCAAACTTACCTATTTCAACTAGTACTGTGGAAACTATTTCAGAAGTTGAAGCTTTTGCTCTCATGCATGATGACTTGAAGATTGTTGCTTCTCAATTTCGCCGTCTTATTAACAGAAAACAACTTCAACACACTTTTAGGTAAGGCTTGAAAAAATGTTATACTATATTAGCATGAAAAAAGAAGACAGACCTCATTGAGGACAATGTTGTTTGAGCAGGTTCTATTCGTTGCAATGGAGGACGTGGGGAGCGCGGTTCATACAAGTAATATGGCGTCGATACAGAGACAAAAGGGCTCAGAAAGCATTGCGCGAAGCGGAAGAAAAACAACATAATGCTTCTGAAAATGAGGAAGAGTGTTCACCAAGCTTTGTTTCCACTATGTATGTACAAAAGTTTGCATCTAATGCATTAAGGCATGTAAGAAGTGGCAAAACAGTGACACAGACACCGACACCGACAAAGAGATTGCTACCACTCTTGCCTAAGAAACCAGCTGAGCCAAATTTCATTACTCAAAAGAACTAAGAGTGTGTTATAGAAGTAGTTTTCTTTTCAAGTTTAGTTTCTTTTAGTAGACCAAACTCAAGAAGTGTTCATACATAAAACATTATCTATATCAAATGATGTTGGTCTGTTTGAGAATTTGTAAAACTATGTATGTGTGCATATATATGTAAATAGAGAAAGTGTGTAAGAATGTGTAGTGATTATGGTTTGGTATGAATTTAATTGTATAAGGTCAAGTTTTTGTACACTATTTGATCACTTTTGAATCTTATGTTACAAAACACATTTTGAAAACCATTTTTCTTCTTAAGGCAAGTCCAATTAACTTTGGAATCCTTGGTCTATAGAACTAAAAAACGGCCCTTGTTATCCTCACACCATTTTTCCTGAAAACACCCCCTATCCCTCCTTTTTCTCCTAATAAAATGAGAAGTGAGAATATCAAAAAATGAGTGTGAATAGCAACTTCACGAAGGGTAAAGAATAATCATTCTAACAATTAACATTAGTGAATAGGTAAATTAGTTTTCTTTTACATTGTAAGCATTGATGAAAATAATATCTCACTATTATAAATCGGCTATATATATATATATATATATATATATATATATATATATATATATATATATATATATATATATATATATATATATATATATATATATATATATATATATATATATATATATATATCTTTAAATTTACTAAGCGACCTTCAAAATACTTCATTTGTTAATTTGTGTTGCTGTAGTGTGAAATTTGGTGTTTAACTGACTAGACGATGTGTTTAGTTTATATTGAAAAATAAGTGTGAAGTTTTATTAGGAAACAAGTGTAAATTCTAAGTCTCACATTGTTTAGAAAGGTGGAAGTTGAACACTTTATAAGTGAGATAACTCATACACCTATCACCTTAAGGTTTTGGATGAATATGTGATGTCTCTCTCACTTGTTTGGATGAGTCTTTAACCTCTAGGTGAATGTTTGACCTAATGTGAATGCTTCCCCCTCATGATGACCCATTAGTGATATCAAAGTCGATGGTTCGAGTAAGGGACTGACTCCTTGCTTCGAAAGTCTTTCTGACATAGTGGTCAGGCAGTGTGTTCCGTTGAGGTGCCCATGACGAGATAAGTGTGTCTCGGCGGTACAAGTATGTGGATGAAAGAGCTTCCGCTTGAAAGGGAGTATAGTGGGTGAACTCACACTTGAGGGAAAGATTGTTGAGAAACAAGTGTGAGTTTTAAGCCTCACATTTCTTAGAAAATGGAGGTTGAACATTTTATAAGTGAGATGACTCATACACCTATCACCTTAAAGTTTTAAGTGAATATGTGATGTCTCTTTCACTTGTTTGGATGAATCTTTAACCTTTAGGTGAGTGTTTGACCAAATGTAAATGTTTTCTCCTCATAATGACTCATCTGTTTTTTAGTCATTTGCTAATTGATTATTTGTTTTCTTGATTGATAAGATTATATGTAGATTAAATTTCACTATAAACAATAATCCTCTTTTTGATCAAATGATTACTCCTTTAAAAAGACTATGTTTCTCAATTGCAAAATTTTAGACTCCTAACTTCATTATTCTAACTTCCACAAATTTCATTAGAGAAACAAAAGAATATAATGAAATTCAATATAATTGATTGAATCAAAGAATCAAACTTGGCAACCATAAGTTTAAATATATATTCAAAATAACTAACGTAGAGAAAATTTTTAACTAAAACAACTAAGTTTAAACTACGCGGTTAATTAGAAAACTAATTTATAGTTTAACAACCCCCTCAAATAGGAGTGTGTTAATAATACCAAGTATGGAAAATAGAATAGAGAATGGACCTAGATGTAAGAACTTAGTAAAAATGCCAATCACTTTGTTTGTTGAGTTTATGGGTTGAAGGTGGACCATATGTTCTTGTACTTTGTTGCAGATTACGTGATAATCAATTTTGTAATGTTTTGTCTGCTTATGGAAGACGAGATTTGTTACTATGTAGATTGCACTTTAGTTGTCATAGAAAATTGTGACCGGTTGAAGTTGCAAGATGGAGAAGTCTTGGAGAATATATATCATCAGTTGTGTTTCACAAACGATATTGGCTAGAGCTATGTATTCTGCCTCGGATGAAGCATGTGAGACTACTTGACACTTCTTGCTTTTTCAACTAATGATTAAAGATCCTAAATAAAATCAAAATATTGGCGAAGCATAAATTATCTAGCTTAAACATTGAAGTCTCTTATTTGTGTACTTGAGCAAAGGAAGTCTCATTTTAGGTTGATTGACCAGGAATTCTCTAGAAAGGTTGTTTGAGCAAAAGTCTCTTTCTAGGTTGATTGAGCATTGAAGTCTCTTGCAAGTGTGTTTGAGAAATTGTAATATATTTGATTATAGTGAAAAGTTCTTGTTAAGGCATGGGGACTGAACTACTCTTAGTTGAGGAGAGGAACTAAGATAATCTTTGTATGTTGCTTGCACTTACTTCTGAACATTTCATTTTCGCTGCTATTACACATTCTGGTATCAGACTCTGAAGGTTCAGTTTCAAAAGTGTAACGAGTTTTTTGGAATACACAATTCACCCCCCCCCCCCCCCCCCCTCATCCCCCCCTTTCTTGTGTATTTTCTCACCTTCACATTATGCTTCGGGGACTGTTACCATTTTGGAGACCATGCCAGCATATACCCCAGACAGGACTTGTGTTAGTGGAAATGGCATATTCCACCGACTCTTATGGGCGTATGAACCATGCATCAAAGGTTTTACTTTTTGTTAACCTAATACAAATTGATGTAACATGGTTGTACGAGAAATATAAACGAACGCTACTCATGGTAGTGGCACAAGATGGCAATAACAATATTTTTCCAATTGCCTTCGCTCGGGTTGAAGGGGAGATTGCTGGTAGATGGAATTTTTTTATAAAAAATCTCTAATTACACGTTGCTCCTCAACCTAACTTATGCTTGATTTTAGGCAGACATCCATCAATTGAGAGTGCTTATAAAAACCTTGATAACGGTTGGAAATATCCTCCTTCTACGCATGTGTACTCCATTAGATATATCGCTCAAAATTTTATGCGGGAGATCAAAGACAAGACACTATAGAAGAAGGTTGTGAATGTAGGGTATGCATTAATAGAACCTTCCTTCAAAGAGTACTGCGAAGAGATGAGATTGACAAATGCAGATGGAGTAAGGTAGATCGATAATATTCCATTAGAGAAGTGGACCGGGCATTCGACCATGGTCAACAATGGGGCCACACGACAACAAATCTCGTGGAATTAATGAACTTTGTCTTCAAAGACATCTGAAACCTATTGATAACCGCTTTGGTGAGAGCAACCTAACTTAAGTTAAGGTCACTATTTAAGATTGGACGTTTAAAATGGCGCTCAGTGTTACAAGCAGGGCATGTGTTCAGTGAAATTTCAATGAAATTCATTAAGGAGGAAGCTGCCAAAGCTAACACAGATGTGGTCAAGATGTTTTTACCGTCATAAAGGTTGGTTCAGTGTAGATGAGACAATAGACCCCAATGAGGAGAGGACAAGGGGATACTAATGAGTCGAACTAGATAGAGGTTGGTGCGATTGCAGAAAGTTACAAGCCTTCTGTATGCCTTGCTCCTATGTTAAAAGGCTCAGCAGGACCCTTCCAACTTAATATCTGTTGTTTACAAAGTCATAAACTTATATAATATGTATAACAATAGCTTTCCGGTGGTGGAAAAGGAGGATTATTGACCTACATATCAAGGAGAGATAGTTTGGCACAATGAAAATATGCGAAGAAAGAAAAAGGGTCGTCCTAACAGCACGCGTATTTGAACCGAAATGGATATAAAGAACAAAATGGTGAGATTATGTAGTTCATGTCGTCAGTCCTGACACAATCGTACAAACTGTCCCAATGTTGGAGCAAGCAACACAACATAGTTTTATATTTAACCATTTTATCAAAAACAGCGTTCATTTCATAAATATCACAACATTCGGTTACAAACCACTAAAACAACAACTAAACAATAACTTAAACAACAACTAAACAATAAGACACACAAATTCAACAACTAAACAACATATCTATGAGATTACAACCATCAGGACAATTTCCTTGCAGTTATGCATCATAATACGACAATTTCTGTCAGTTTTAATTGAGTCCCATAAACGACTTTCTCCACTGCCGTTGTACACCGTAACAAACTTTTAAATTCTTCTGATCTTTTCACCGCCTACAATGTCTCCATCTAACCAACCGATTAAGCTCCTCTAGAGATGCTTGAACATCTCCATCTTTTAGAGTCGGATCTTCATTGGATGCTTTACTGCTAAATAAATCAAATCAACATTTCTCTTGTGAATATAAAATGACATATTGAAGAAAAATTGAAGAAGAGACTTAAAATATAAGTGAAATTGATGGGGAAGGGATGTAGTATATATAGAAAATCATAAACAACGCAGTAGCCACTGTCTGTGGCACATGCTCTTAGAGGATGCATGTATGTGCCACATGCAGTGGCATGTACTCTAAGCATGTGCCAACATGCATGGCGTGTGTGTACATAATTGCATGCATACCCGCCATTCATAGTGGTTACTTCTCTTTCCAGCTAATTATTTATTTATTTAAAACATGGTTAGTTTTGTATTTTTTTTTAAATTATGACTATTTTGAAAAATTAATTTTAAAAAATGGTTATTAAAAAGGCTTAATGCATCATTTGGTCCTTTAACCTAATTTTAAGTTTCACTTTAGTCCATTATTTAATAAATGTTCATTCTAAGTTCCTTAAATGTCATTCCATTACTCAAATTGGTCATGTCCATTAAATTTTGTCAAATTCTGTAAATTTATGTATGCGTGGCACTCCAACTGGTACCATGTTAGATGACGTGGAATTGTTTTAATTAACATATTATTTATTAAACATTATTTATTTGACAGAGAAATGAGTTTGAAACAAATAGCATTCCTCTTTTTCTACTTCCTTCTCCAAAACTCTAGCTATCAGCTTCTTCTATCTTCTCCTTCTTAAACCATCAGAACTAACCTCTGACCGTGAATCTTCCTGAAATAAACTCAAAGAGAAGGCATTTTATTTCATTTTTTTATTTCATCAATTAATCGCTAATAATTTAAGAGTTTTTTATTTGAAATATTTACATGTTAAAATTTGTGAATTTTAATTCGATTTTGCAGAGGTTTGCAAGCTTGCTGTCAATGGGCTTACTAGTTTAGTATGTTTCTTTTACTTAAAATTTTCATCAATCAAGTAGATCTACTGAAAATTTATGTGTCAAAAGCTTAATTTGTGTCATTTCTTTCTATTTTATAGTTCTCTTGATAATGATTTGGTCATAACTAACAAGTGTCTTTGTTGATAAATTTATTTGTCGAATTTAATGTGTGTTTTTAAATTGCAGAAAATTATTCTAACTATTCTATGAGATGTTCCACAAGATTCTTTGATAACAAGTGAGAAATTCTTTGGTCCATTACTTCTGATAGTCACTGTAAAAATAAAAATTGTTAATCAATTTATTGATTCTACCTGCTAATGTTATCACTTCTATCACTATGTTATCGCAATAGTTTATAGATCCTTTATAACTCGTATTATTTTGTTGCTAAATTTGTTAATCAATTCTTATGCGTAAACATCTTTGAGCTTTAGCTAAAATTAGCTTCAACTTTATTATGAGCAAGAGCAAAATTTATATTTCACCATGATGATTAATAACAACCGCTGTAAATGGTATAGAATTAAAATGTTCACATTGACTTAATAGCTAAAGAGTTTTCATTAAGCCATAAAATTTTGATATTTGCTATTTAAGTCTTTTTTATTTTTACATAAATTTTTTATGTATGCATATCTGGTAATAAAGTAAAAAATGTTGGAAAAGATGGCTCTGTTTATGTATATATTTTGGAACATGTTTAATGTTATTTTAGTTTAGTAATTTTAGTTTGAATAAAAAAATGTAACAAAATTTTAATTTACTGTCAATATATTCAATATTATATTTATATAAAATTATAAAATTACTGGTTCATTATTTTGATTTTTACCTTGCTGATAAAATTGTTGACTCATAAAATTCTGATATAAAATTCTAATTTATTATTTAAGTCTGTTTCCTTAACTAATTATAAAATTTTAATTTAGTCTTCTAATAAAATTGTTGACTGATTATTTTAATTTTTATTATGTTGTCACGCTCTATCATTAATTAACATTTTTTTAATATTTAACAAAAATAATTAATTTAGTTAACAAAATAATTTTTAAAAAAAATTGTGATATTTATTAAATAATAAATTAAAATGAAGTCCCAAATTAAGTTAAAAGAATTCGGAACTAAATAATCCTTTTTAAAAATAATAATTTGAGCTTTGTATGGTTGGCATGGGAAAATATTTAACTTCTCTTCTCTCCCAAATTAATCACTTCTTCTCGAAAACGTATTTTACAATTAATCTGCTTATCACGACTCAAAAGCAAACCTGTAAATTTCGACCACCGTAGATCAACAATGACACCCATACAACTCATCTTCTTCTTCTCACTCACACTCATCACTACCAAAATACTCAAACTTTGTTTTTCCGCAATCAACGCTAGACAAAGCAGGAAAACCGCGGTCGGTTTCTTCCATCCATACACCAACGACGGCGGCGGTGGAGAAAGGGTTCTATGGTGCGCCGTCAAAGCTATCCAGGAAGAGAATCCTGACCTTCAATGCCTTGTTTATACAGGCGATCACGATGCCACACCTCAGTCGTTGTTCAATCGTGCACTTGATCGATTTGGTGTTACGCTTCTGTCCCCTCCTAAGGTAGTTGCTTTTTCTTCATTCTATCATATGGGTTTTGTGTTCTTTTGCCTTATTGCAATTGGGGTTTTGTGAAGTTTCCTTCTTTTTTGTTTTTTTTATAACAATTTTGATTCATGTAATGCTTATTATGTTGGAACCATTTATAAGCTTTTCATTTTTGTTTTTAACATTTTGTGTGATGATGAAATGAGATACTATTAATTAGTTTAAGTGTAGGTTTGGTTTCATGTTTGGAGCACACGGAATTGATTTTGGATGTGGAAAATTGATTTTGACATGTTTGGTTGTTTTTCATAATTGATTTTACTTGAAGCTAAAACATGTAGCTTTTGAGTCTAAACGTGATATTTACATGTAAGTTTACTGATCAACCCTTTGCAAGAATTTATCCAAACATAAATTAATATATCTTCAACTCACTTTTAGCCACAAATCAACTTTACAAAATCAATTTATTAAATCAACTGTCTTCGCTGCAGAACCAGACACATGCTAAGTGGGTTTTTGTTTATATTTGTTAAGAGTCATATTGGATGGAGGGTTACAAATTGCGGTTGCGGTTACACCGGTAACCATGTGGGCAAATGCAGTTAGTTGTGAAGACCCCTAACATATTTATATTGTCTCGTCTTAAAAGCTGGTTTTGTGGGGTTTAATTAGGGTTTAATTGTCATTGATGATTGTGGCTTTATCACCATTTTCCTAAATTGAATGATTGTTCTTCTGTAACTCTCATTGTAGTGATGATCACGGGATTCATAGAGGGAATGGAATAAGTTAGAATACTTACTAATATAAGTGCTTATGTATAAGCTATTTCTATAGCAAAAGATGAGATATAGTCAATTTGTTTACATATAAGCTATAAGCTGTTTTTAGGTATCATTAAGAGCTTATGGACCTGTTTTCATAAGCTTTCTCAATTAGTCTCACAAGTGTTTATGTCAGTAGATAAAATCCAATAAGTCAACCAATTCAAACGGTTCTTATTGGCATATTTACACATGCTAGGGTGTAACTCAACCGTGGTTATTGTTGAAGATGTTAATTATTCATCGAAAAAAGATAAAATTGGGTCTTTTTAATATTTGCTTATATGAAGTAAATTAACATTGTTGTAATGGTAAAGAGCTCTTATTTAAGAACTTGCTGTGCTAAAAAATCGTAATAACCTGTGTCTTTTGGTTATCCATGCAACACAATTCACAGGTGGTTCATTTGTACAAGAGAAAGTGGATTGAAGAAACGACATATCCACACTTTACTATGATTGGTCAAAGTCTAGGCTCTATGTATCTTGCATGGGAAGCTTTGTGCAAGTTTACCCCTTCCTATTATTTTGATACAAGTGGATATGCTTTTACATATCCACTTGCTAGGTTGTTTGGATGCAAAGTTATTTGCTATACGCACTACCCTACTATCAGTTCAGACATGTTATCCCGCGTTCGTCAACGCAGCTCCATGTATAATAATGATGCCTTGGTTGCCAAAAGGTTTGATTTTTAATCCTTGGATTTGTTCATGTTTTTTCCCTCGTCTAAATTCAAGTCATACTTTTTCAATAGTCTATAAATATTAATTTTAATATTATAGCTTATCCAAATTGTTTAAAATAATCGAAGAGCTGTTTTCTGGCAGTGTTTGGCTTTCTCGGTGCAAAATCATATATTACACAATCTTCAGCTGGTTGTATGGGATTGTTGGATCTTGCACACATCTAGCTATGGTGAATTCATCTTGGACTAAAGCCCATATTGAAAAGCTTTGGGGAGTTCCAGATCGGATTAAGCGAGTTTATCCTCCTTGTGATACTTCAGGACTTCAGGTTTGAAAATTTGTTTTTTATTATTCTCAATTTTTCGTTGGTATATTATTCTGTAAGTAGTTAGAGAAATTCTCTACTACTATCGTTTTAATATCTCTAATTTCGGTTACGGTTCAATTGGTCTCTATCATATACACACGCGCACATACATAGACACGTGCATTACCTTGTATGGTAATTATCAGTTGATTCTAACAGATTAGCAATATGGGCAGGTGCTGCCTTTGGAAAGACCGGCTGAAATTCCTGTAATAATATCGGTTGCACAATTTCGACCAGAGAAGGTAGGCATACTCCTATCAACCTTGTAAATGGGAGGTACAACCATTTTGGTGGCTTATTTTGGCCTATTATGATTTCATTAACTTTACATGATTGATTTATTGCAGGCTCACAGTCTCCAACTTGAGGCATTTTCAGTTGCCATTAAGAGATTAGATTCTGGCTTGTCGAAACCTAAGCTCCAGTTTGTAGGCAGCTGTAGAAATAAATCCGATGAAGATAGACTGCAAACCTTAAAAGAAAAAGCAATTGAGCTGAATGTGAATGAACAAGTGGAATTCCACAAGAATGTAACATACAGGTTAGTAACAGCAGCTTTTTTTCTTTGATTCACGAGTATGCTTTCTTACTTTCACATTTGATCATTGCCTCAACCAACAGAGATTTGGTGGGACTGTTAGCTGGCGCTGTTGCTGGCATCCATTCCATGACAGACGAGCATTTTGGGATTAGTGTTGTAGAATATATGGCTGCCGGTGCCATCCCAATTGGTAGGTGATACAAATTAAACCTTTACGTATATATGCTTTATTTTCTCTATATCCTGCGTTTATGTATATTGATTATTCTTGCATCGTTTGTTTGCTGTCAGCTCATAATTCAGCCGGCCCAAAAATGGACATTGTATTGGAAGAAGATGGACAGCAGACAGGATTTCTCGCCAGCTCCATTGAAGAATATGCAGACGCAATTTTTAGAGTCATCAAGATGTCAGAGACGGAGAGACTTCAGATGGCCGCTGCTGCAAGGAAACGAGCAAGTAGGTTTTCTGAGCAGAAGTTTTCCGATGATTTTAAAGCCGCAGTACGCCCTATTCTCAGTCGTGTTTCTAGATGATGATCTACAGACTAATCAGCATCATCGTAGTTTAAAATGGAGAGTTTCTTGTCTGCCAGCCTAGCCATCGGCGAATGTATAACCCAAGAATTTTGTTACAGAAATAGTTAAACTTTTTCTTACTCTGATTTCTTAGCTGATGTTATTATCAATCTCTTATACCAAATGGTAAATGTTTCCAAATGTACAGAGGATTGTTGAAAGTTGGATTGTAATATAAGAAGAAAATATTTAATCAATTCTGAATTATGTTTTCATGTAAACATGGTTTGTATCATCTCATTCAAGCATCATGAATGATTTATAAATATATACACAATTACACACACTATTAACTTCAAAATATATGATTTTTATGGTCCATGAACATGATCACTCAAAGATTACTAGAAGCAACATTAACATTAAGAGGAGAAGGAGCAGGAGAGTTTCGACAAACAGGGCACGTAATATTAATCCGAAGCCACTCATCAATGCAATCAGCATGGAAACAATGCTTGCATTCAGGAATGCATCTTACTGTCTCTTTACTATTGTACTCCGACAAGCATATCCAACAACATCCATCGTTCGGTCCAGGAACACGTCGACTCTCTCCAAGAACTACTTTCTCATAAGATTCAATAGTTGTTTCATCTAAACCTGTAGTTACTATGATTTCAGGTTGTGGTGCTATTGCAGCTGGTGCAGACCGAGAAGCTGCGTTTCTGGTAATGTTTGCTATTCTATCATTGTAGCATACACAACTTGCCATTAACATAACAAAGATTAGAGCTGGTCCTGTAACACATAGGGCTATGATTCTGAAAACTTTAAGTCCTTGTCGCGGTCTACCTTAAAATTGAAGCCAGAAAATATCAGTTCATGTAAATGGTTAATGTCTTGAATCTCAGTGATTATGATACCCCCGCGCATTTGTGTTACAAAAATTCAATAATTTCACAATAATTTTTTTCTTCAATTTTAAATTCAAGTCATCACCTAAAAATATTTAAAAAATTTTATTCAATATTTTTCTAAAATACAACAAGTTCATGAACCATTAGTTTGTTGAGCAAGTGTTCCTCAAGTTGGATTTTTTAATTCAAGTGTCAAAATTGCACTAGTTAATATATACGCGTGGTACTTACCTAGCTTAAATTTTGCATTTATTAATTGCCAATATGCAAAGTCAATAGGAATAAATTATAAACAAAAACGAAAGTTGCTAATCGCTGAGGTAAAACCATTGACCAATATTTTTCTAGTAATTCCTTGTAACCTCAGCATGTGGAGCACGTAAGAAAGACAATCATCCCTAAGTTATCATGTCTTGTTTTTTTTTTCTTATAACTCTTCAAACATTTTTTTTATTATCAAACATTTTTGGTCAACTAGTTTCTGGATACAGTAATATAAACCTTATAGAATTGCATATTGAAGATTATAGAACATTTTTACCTGTTTGGTAATCAGTGATACAGACAACTTGACTGTTGTAAATGCTTTCAAATCCACACATTAGCTGATTCAATTCACAATAACTGCAGTCAGGTTTATCCCATGTTAATTGAAGATCTGCACTAAGATCATCTCTGAGATTTTCTTCATACCGTTCTTGTCTTGCAACCGGAACTAAAAGCCTTTTCATAACAGAGCAAGAACCGGGAAGTGGATTGACCAAATTCACCGAAGGAATGGCTGATACAAAATATGTGGAATTACTAAGACAATCAATGGGAATGAATTGCGACCCTATATTCTGAGACGAGCAGCTTAAAAAGGTGTAGTCGCGAGTAAAAGTAGAAATGAAAGGAGAATTTGAAAAATTGAGGCTTAGAAGACGTTTGGGAAGACAATTAGCGGGATCATAGACTTGTATCTGTTGTGTAAGATAGTTTATGTTGCGAACATAGAATTCTCCGGAATAAGGAAGTTCTAGAACTGTTTTTCTATGATTTGAACAAATTAAGTTGAAACCTGGATAGCCACAATAAGGAGATTGCTCACCTTCAAGATGAAAGGGGAAACGAATAGGTAAACTAAAGTTTCCACATAAGGAAAATGGGCAATTGTTAACGGCGGCATGTATGACAGGAAAGATCAAGTAAAAAAGGACCTTCAAGATGCCCATTACTTCTCAGATGTGCAAATCTGTTGTAGGAAGCATCTTTATAAGATGATGAGAGTTGAAACTGTATTTCAATTTTAAATACCATCCAATATTCAACTCAATAAAAAGTCAAATAATATTTTATACTGATATATGGGTTTACATATATTGATTACTTGCCATTAACAATGATCGTAAGTAATATTTAGCTTTCTTTAATTTGAATTTAATATAGGCCTGAACAAACAATTCAATTTTGGCCAGGTATATATGTATCAAGTTCTGCAGGGAAATTTTCTAACTTTCATACAGAAGAATGTGTTCCCTTTTCACTACTATTTTCCTACTCTTCATTTGGAAATAGTATTCGTTATGGTCTTTCAATGTTTAAACCATGAGCTACATATGAGAAATTAATGAATGGGTATACAATACTTATTATCATTTGTAAGAGTATATAGTCCGGTATAAAAACGTCATAAAGCGATTTAAAGGCCAGGGATAAACTACCCAACCCCGGTCCTTCTCGAAGGTAGGTTTGAGATGAATCACAAAAGCTGTTGAGAGATTCTAATGGAAACAACTTCTCCACCAGGTCCTGCCCTCATAGCTTGGTACTTCACATGAAGACCTGCTTGTATTGAAAATAAAATGGAATGTCATGAAAAACCAAATAAGAAATTTGGGATTTTAAGCTTTTTGAGATTTAATTCAGAGATGTGAAAGCTGTAAAGAAAGTTTTTTACCTTCATTTTCTTGTAAATTAGTGTTCACAGCTACTGCATGGAAAGCAATCATTGCCTTGGGCTGCCAGTCATTATGTTTCCCAATCCATGATTTGTAATCAAATACTGCTGCAACTCATTTTTAAAATTAAATCATATCAGTGTGATGTGTTAATGCCATGACTTTCTAACTTTCTACTTTGAATGATAAGCAATAAAAAGGGTTAATTTAGAGCACAGAGTGACTCAAATACTTATGCCCCACACCCAAAATAATTCTTCCGAGGCATAAATTATTATTGAAATTAATATGTTCGTAGATTATCTAAGAACTCATTCTTCATTGGAATTAAATCTGTTACACAGTAACTAAAACTAGTTAAAAACATAATTTGCATATATTTATGCTTCTAAGTCGGTTCGAAGTATAACAATTTACCAGATGTAGAAGAACTCTCCAGGTGTTTGACATCAATAATGGAGCCAGTTGCCCCATCTGCTCGCTTCTTGAGATCATGACATCCTACAAGGTCGTAGTCCCAGCTACCACTTTGGTAACCTTCGCAGAGGAATAGTTCTATATGCCTTGCATCTAATGTCTGCATCGTTCCTATGTAAGTAGTATAAACATGTTAAATTGAGCAAGTACATTCTAGCTTTATTCTAATGCAAACCCTTGTAGAACAAAACAGTTATCACTGATGAATAATTCATGGTAGTTAACGGATTTGCAGGAGTCGTAGGACTATATTTAAATTACCATCGCATGTATTGAGGTCACAGACCGGGCATCGCACAAGCTGCAGATCTGATATTTAAACAAACAAAATTTTATTTAATCGAATACTTTGATCATATGCTAAATTAATTGATTTCAATGATAATTCTATAGTCAAAGAAAACTTGTGAGTACCAGCTATCCAGATTCCAGGTTTAATGTGGTCCAGAAAGCAGCAACCGTGAGACCGCAACATCTTTTCCATACTTTCTTCTTTCTTTAACTCACCCGGAAAAGTCAGTCTCTCTGTCAAGAGGGCTACTGAAGAATCAAAGTAAAAAGCACCTATACGCATCCAATCTGGTAGAACATATTACAAAGAGTTACGACATAAAAAATTTACAAGTCTATTGCATTAAAGCTGCACAAAATGCCTGAAATACACTTTCACTTATGTGGACATTGCTCTAGTTCAACAATATGTTGTATAAACAATTTATAATAATGAGTCAGTCAGTTGTTGGATAAACTCTAGATGATGAATTTGCTTTATAGGTTAGCAATCAAAAAGAAGAAAATAGACTCATTGAATTCTTCATTAAATAATAGGGTTCGCTATGTACATATAACTATGGGACCTAGATTTAGGGCAATTAGTAATTCCTATCAATCTAAAAAAATTTATCAAAAGATTGGATGACTCGCACACTAGGACAAATCAAAAACTCAAAATCTCAATGGTGGATATTCATCAATGATCAAAAGCATTAACTGTGCGGCCACTTACTGCATCAAATTCATTTCCATAACTGTAGGTGAAATCTATAAAAGTTTATTGTGAATCTCAAAAGATATTAGGTTAGGGATACATTACGCAAAAAAGTAGTGTGATAACCAGTGAACCAACTCACCAATGTGCTTCTCCTGCTGTCGGAATTTATAGGAATGGCTTCCATCTGAAACATCAATTTCAAAATCAGTGTTAATCAAACACTGCAATGCCATTTATGAACATTGATGAAGGCATAGATGTTACTTACCAAAGGCAGAAGTGTAGAGCTTGCTCCACTTGAACGCCACACGTGGTGGAGATGGAACTTGAAGGTCACGCAGGCAAACAAACTTCCAAATACCGTCATCCATGATAGCACGGCGGAACCACCGGCTTGTAGCTGCAAGCATTATCAGAGATTTCCCATCCAGAAACTTTGCAATCTCCGTCCAAATATCCTCATCGAACCTTGTTAAACAATCATAATTTCACGTTGCTCAGACAAATTACTAATAATAAATTAACAATAATTAATCAAAACCAAATTAATAACTACTATACAAGTACACAAAATGAAGCGAACATAGATAGTATCATTAACGCTTAAGCTGTTATTAAATACAAAACTAATTAATTACTGATTCAGACTAACTATTGCAGATTTATCATCACAATTTCACAAAACAAACTTAGCTTATCATTTGATGCAGATTTTTCATTTAATTTTCCGTAAAAAAAGAAAATCGTAAATCACAAACAGCGTGCAATTTAAATTGAAGTCGTATTAATTCAATTTCAGAATCAGATCCATTGTTCATCGAGAAGCAGAAACTCTATAAACCGCATTCAAATACTTCCAGTAGAAAAAGTAATCAAACAAACTTAGACGAAGATGTATATGCAGATCGCACACGTAAGAGCAACAGAATACGCACAGATTCAGTTCAATTGAATCGTAAAATCTAAAATCAAAACCATATATAGAAAGATAAGTCAACTTAATATAACTACTGAGAGAACAATTCAACAATCGGATCTAACTGAATTTCGATCTGTAGCTCAGAAATACATAAGAACACTGAACACACGCGATCGCGTTAATTCAAATCGAGTAAAGTGCTTAAAACTGAAATCGATTATGCAAGAGAGAGAGTGAACCAAGAGAAAGCGGAGTGAGCGGAGAGAAATGGCGGACGAGGAGAGTTGCAAGAGCATATGGTTTTGGTTCTCCTGATTCGCTTCGCCGCCGCCGGCAACTCTCCGGCGGAGGAAGTAGCATTGTGGAGCTGCTTTCCCATGCTTCCTTCGAAATTCAAAAGCTGAAGCGGTGAAGCAACACACGCGTTCGCTCAACTCTAACAAATCATAACAAACGGCACACTCTTTGAGTTTCCCTCGTTATATAGCGGCGCCAAAATCTCACTTTTCAAATCAACTCAAAATATTACTACATTATAATAATAAAATAGTAAATAAAAATGTATATAGAATTTAAATGCACTTAAATTTGTTTATTTTTCTTTAATGAATTGTCAACTAAAAAATAAAAAAAAGTAATACTTTAGAGTGTTATGTTAATTTTTTTTTATAAGCTGAATATTCAGTGTATGCAACCAACTACAGACTAATATTATGTTAATTTACATTAAAGTTATTTTATTTTTTATAATAGAAATTAATTTTAATATAATAAATTTTGTTGGACTTGAATAAAACACCAAAAGACAAATAAAAAAAGTAAAACGTTGCAGGAATTAAAACAAAAAGTATATATTTTTATAGAAATTAAAAATAAAAAATATAGATTTGTAAGAACTAAAATATATTTCATACTATTGAAAATGTGTATTGAATGAAGTGTTCTTCCAATTGTTGTCTCCACTACTTCAAATTTTTGTTATCTTGTTATTGTAATCGGTTAAATTTTTGAACGCATCAGTTGATATTAGTTAATGCTCGTTGTGATTTGTTTGATTATATAGATTTAATTTTGCTTAGTTGAACTCTTAATAGCGTTGTATTTTTTTAAAGAGAAAATAATGTGTTGTTAATTAAGTCTACAATATATGGAAGAATGTCACCAAAATCGTGATTTTAGTTATTAGGGAGGGAAAATCCGTTTAATTTAGCCACGTTGGTTTTATAATTTAAATATAGTATTTTTAATAGTTTGTTGATTATGAACTCTTATGGCGTTGTTTGGTGGACAAGGTAGGATTTTTTTTTTGGTATAAGTGTGAAAAGGAAAAGAAAAAAAATTAAAAATAAAAAGTTTAAATGCACAGTTGATTCTTTTAGTTTGGGCAATTTAAATAATTGATTCCCTATTACAAAATCTGCGAATTTAATCCTTAAGTTAGATTTATTTTGGATTCATTTAGTCCCCATTTAATTTTGATGATTTGTCATGTTTTTTAATGAGATGACAGCTTTATATGTACTCCATGTCACTTAATGTTATTATTTTAATATAAAGTTGAATAATTAAATTTATAAAAAAATGCATTCACTTTGTTTGGTTGGAAGAGGAAATGAATCCTAGGAAAAAAGAGATAATTTCTTCACTCTTAAAGAACTTAAATGAGGAGAAAGAGATGGTTAACACCCACAAAGCAAAGGAGGACGAATTGAAGATGAAGGTGAAAATCCTGAAGAAACAGTTGAAGATTACCTGAATTTTATTATTTGTAATGTTCTTTGCATTTGTTGGAACAACAATGATGTAATAGGATATAGTTGAATCGGTTTGTATGTTGATTGATGGTGTAATGGTGTATTAGTTACCTTGGATTGATGTGATGATGTAATGGTTGAAAGTTAATGTTATGGTATTCATGTTATTGTATTAATGTTATGGACCTGTAATTTTGAAACAACAATGACCTATAGCAATGGCTTATAATTTGACATACTTAGCTGGACAGTGGCTTGTAATTTGACATAACAATGACTTGTAATTTTGACATAACAATGACCTATAACAATGACATGTAATTTTGACATAACAATGACTTGTATTAATCTATATTAACAATGGCTTATAACAGTGGACCTATAACAATGCCATGTAATGGCATTTAATTCACCATAACAATGACTTATAACAATGTCATGTAATGGCTTTTAATTTGAAATAACATTGGCCTATAACAATGGTCTATAACAATGCCATATAATGACTTTTAATTTGACAAAACAATGTCTTATATACACAACGGCTTATAGTAGTCTGCAACAATATGACAGAACAATGTCTTATACACAATGACATAACATGACTCATAATTTGACATAACAATGCCTTACAATTTGACTTTACACCAATATGACAAAACAATAAACAAATGACATTTCATTAACATACTTATATATTTTTCTGCATTACACCAAAATAACATTGTTTAACCAAAATAACACTCAAGACAAAACTTTAGTCAAAAAGAAACCTAGAGTACATTACTACCTAAAAGATAATCATATACAACAATTTAAACCTAGAGTACACTACCCTTGAGTTAGTTGAGGAGCTTGTGAACTTTGACCAATTTCTATTTGTTTTTCTTTAGACTTAGCCTTCACTTTATTAGCATTCATTTTCTTATCCTTAAGTTTATTCCCACCTTTTGGAATAGCCCTATCTGTAGCCCTTTTTCCCTTACAACTTCTCTTGTTATGCCTCATAGCACCACACTTTGCACATGTGACAGTTGAAAACCTCCTTGGTAGTATGTGAGGATTTCTAGGTTCATCATTTGTTTTGTTTCTCTGTTTTTTTGGCCTTCCAATAGCTCTTTTCATAACAGGTGGTGCCACTTTACTCTGATCAGCTATAGGCCACAATTATGATCCATTGGTTAGAAACACAATATTGGAGTAAGTTTCCATAAATGTTGATTTCTTATTTAAAACAGAACCCAACCATAACAGTCAAAAATTCATACAATAATATTCAACATAAGAAATAAATAGATATAGTACATAAGTCAAACCTATAACATGTAACAACATAATCCTCATGCTATTTCTTGATGTTCCATATGCATGCAATTACATGGCATCAAGGTATACCACTCAATTCTCATTTTCTACATGAGCAAGTTTCCTTCTTCAAATTAACACAATAAGCATCAATGTCACTGTTGGCACTAAATATGGATAGGTCATCATCACTATGCCATGTAGGACTTCACCTTTGTGCTTTCTTCTTATTTTCCTCAAGTACCAACTGAATTTTAGGACATATGGATCATGTGTAGCCCTGTAGCAATTCTTTCTAACTTGCAATCCTCTTGGTGATGTAATGTTTGATGCCTTCTAATAGGGTGATAATAGGCTTCTCCCTATGCTCCAAAATTGCCCTATTGAATGCTTCACACATGTTGTTGACCTATAAATTACACTTTGAATAAGTGTTGAAGTGTGATCTGCTCCAATGGCTAGCAGGGACTTTCATCATATCTTTCCATGCCTCTTCTTTCATTGCCTTCATTTTCAGTATTGCCTTTTCCCAAGCAGGAATTGTTGTTGCCCTAGCATCTGCCAAGAGCACTTCCTTGAATTCCAACCCAGGGTTTCTCTTCTTCCAGTTTCCATACAAATGCTCAACACACAATCTACACTCCATATTGGCACTAATGCCTTGAACATCTAGAACAAGTCCTTGTAAGTGTAAAATCAAATGACAATTGATAAAAATGTAAGTTTAAAATCAAATGTAAGTGTAAACAATTATTTTTTGTTGATATGATATAAATGAATAAGACATTTGATTGTAACCTTCCAAATCATGTAGAAGAAGGTCTAAAAATCATTGCCATGATTATTTTATTTCAGCTTCTACTACAACATATGCTATTGGAAAAATATGGTTATTTTCATCCCTCCCTATTGTTGACATTAAATGCCCATCATAATCTCCTTTTAAGAAGCATGCATTTATCCCAATTAGTGGCCTACATGTCTTTGCAAAACCTACCTTGCAAGCTTCTAAACACACATAAAGTAAAATAGTATATTCACATCATTCAAAGCATATTCACCCTCTTAAGGCATCACATGAGATAATACTACATGTTAGCTTTCCAACGCTTTGAACCGCATCCCAAACAGAGTCATGAATCTCAAGTTATGATATTTTTCGTTAGACCTAGCGGAAGTCATGAGGGTTGACGGGCGTCACCCAGAACTGAGTTATTCCCTACAGCCAGTTTATCGCTAAATCCCAGAATCCGCAGGTAAATACCCATAATTTATTTTTCTATATTTTCCACCAAAGAAGCCCTTCCGGACCTCCGATTTCGATTCTGTAAAAGGTCTCGATCTCATAATTTGACATGCAACAATTATCTAATGATGAAAAGCACAAATTCAAAATTTATCACATATTGACATTAACAAAATTCTCTATTTTCATACTTTCACATTTACCTTTAAAGCTCCAAAACCCCAACAATGGTGAAAACATATTAACACGTCATAACAAAAATTATCATTAATTAAAATACACGAATTTCACCAACAATCACAATATATATCATCAAATCAATATCAATTTACATAATTAAATCAAAACTTAATACCATATTGGAGGTTAATGACTCTTCTACCCTACCTCTCATAAATAAGCTCTATTGAAAGTTATTTTCTCCCCTTACCTTAGAATTTCAGCAAGGAAGCTCTTTTCCAATGGTTTTCCTCTCCTCTTCTAACTATATGGTTCTCCTCTTACATTTACCCCCCCTCCCCCCCACAAAGCTCCAAAACCCCAACAATGGTGAAAATATATTAACACATCAAAACAAAAATTCTCGTTAATTAAAGTACACCAATTTCACCAACAATCACAACACATATCATCAAATCAATACCACTTTACAGTATTAAATCAAAACTCAAATCCCTATAGGTGGTTAAGAACTCATCTACCCTACCCCTCATGAATAAGCCATATTAAAAGTTATTCTCCCTTCTTACCTTAGAATTCCAGCAACCAGACTCTTCTCCAATAGTTTCCTTCTCCTCTTCTAGCTCTAGGGTTCTCCTCTTGCCTCTTTCTCAAGTTCTATAAGAATTGAATGAAACATAACTCTCCTTCACCTTTTAGAATATATATATATATATATATATATATATATATATATATATATATATATATATATATATATATATATATATATATATATATATATATATATATATATATATATATATATATATATATATATATATATATATATATATATATATATATATATATATATATATATATATATATATATATATATATATATATATATGG